GACTTCAGCCAGGTCACGATCTCATGGTCCGTGAGTTCGAGCCCCGCGTCGGGCTCTGGGCTGATGGCTCGGGGCCTGCAGCCTGTTTCCGATTCTGTGTCTCCCTCTCTCTCTGCCCCTCCCCCATTCATGCTCTTTCTCTCTCTGTCCCAAAAATAAATAAACGTTGAAAAAAAAAATTAAAAAAAAAAATAAAAAAGATTCTTATTTTTTTAAGTAATCTCTATACCCAACATGGAATGGGGCTTGAACTCACAACCCTGACATCAAGAGCCACATGGTCTACTGACTGACCCAGCCAGGTGCCCCCGTTTAAAATAATTTTCCGGGGGTGCCTGGCTGACTCAGTCGGTAGACCATGGGACTCTTGATCTTGGGGTCATGAGTTTAAGCCACACATTGGGCATGGAACCTACTTAAAAAAAAATAACAATTTTCCTGAAATGTAGTACTCTGAGGTTTCTTTTGTCAAATAATATAAATGGTTAAAAAAAAAGTATGAAGAAGTATAAAAGGAAAACAAAGTATATCATCCTATTGCCCCTTCTCCAGAAGTAACCAGTTACCAGTTTCAAAAAGTCAGGCAGAGATTGTCACAACTCCCAAATTGTTGATGGACAACTCAAATATTGGACTATGGACAAGACACTCAGGCTAGAAAAACCGTAGAGATGGGTCCATTCCCTTCATACCTGTGCTGTAGGCTCCTCTGGGGTCTTCATGTCTGATCCTAAGACTCTCACCAGTGAAGAATAATGGGCCAGTGGCTTCTTCCCTGCCCTCACAACTGGTCGTTTTTCTGCTACGGCTGGGAGTGGGGCTTCCTCGACAAGCCGGGAGCTTTCATGGACTTGCATCTGCAGTAGGTTTCCCTGCTTAACCGCCATCTGAGAGCATATGTTAGGAATAAACACGTTAACGTGTGATTCTCCTTTCCCAAATGAAATTCCAAAGACATCTAATCAGAAGAGGTAGGGTGAATTATGCTGAAAATATTAGCATTTACCTTTATTTTCTTAAATCAAATGGCATATACTATGTTATTAGTCAGCCTGCTGTTTCTTTAACCAAAATGTTACCTAGGAATGGTTTTATTATCTAAAACACAAAAGTACATTTAATGTAGCACTTTGTGAGGTGAAATGTTCTCATTAATGGGTTACAACTTTTCTATGTAATTGGTTTTTATGTAGGATTCCACTTATGGATTTTAATCTCAAATTTTCAAAAAAGTCAATAACAGACTACCAGAACCCAAGAAACTTAAAGCCAAATGCTATAATTAAGCACTTACTTTTCCATTAAGAATAGTACTGTGGAAAGCATACTTGAGTGGTCACCTCTTTTTGAAGAGCATCTTCTTAAAAATGCTATTTTGAAAACTACTTCAAGGAGCATTTGAGGTCCTATGAAGGTACTCCAGTGTGCATGAAGAGATCAGGGGCTAAGTCTATGAGTTTGTAGCTCTCCCCACTTGTCACCCAGTGACAAGAAGAATTACTTCTCTCTCTTTTTTTTTAATGTTTATTTAAGAGAGAGAGAGAGTGAGCGAGCATGTGCATGCACACAAACAGGGGAAGGACAGAGAGAGAGGGAATCCCAAGCTGGTTCTGCACTGTTAGCATAGAGCCTGACGCGGGGCTCAATCCCACAAAGCATGAGACCATGACCCAAGCCAAAACCAAGAATTGGACACTCAACCAAATGAGCCACCCAGGCACCCCTGATGAACTGTTCTTTTACCTATTTTTATTTATTTATTTATTTATTTATTTATTTATTTA